GCTGGCCCCGAGCCCAGCAGGGGCACCTGCAGCTGGTCAGCCACAGCCAGCTCATCCAGGTGGGGAACTCCCCCTACCATGTAGGCATCCCTGCCCTGGAGCAGCCCCTGCAGCCTCTGCAGCGTCCTGGGGCTGTGCTTGAGCACCGTGGCCAGGCACATGTGGTGCTCCTGCAAAAAGAGAACATTTATTCTTTGTTTATTCTTATGAAAAGTGGTTTTTTTTTTTGGTTGGTTTTTTTCCTCCCTCCCCCTAATTCCTAATGTTGCCCACAATAAATACATTATTAATAGCAGGCTGGGTTATGACCTATCCTGTAGCTTAGCAGTTTAAATTGATAAAAGCTGTTGGGGTGAGGCTCCATAATCGTGCACATCTTTAGTGGGCTGGAAATGGCCTCGTTGGGAATAGAACTAATTACTACACATCTGTATTTATTTGATCCGTGTGGAATTATCCTTCTGTCAGGCACAGAGGCTGCTGGCCTTTGGATAATAGTGATTCATCTCAGCAACACTCCTGGCATGGTTTAACTCCAGAGCTCCTCAAAATCAATAAAAAAATGAAGATTCTCCCCCTCCCTATAGCACGGAATGTATTTCACATACAGTTCAGGGTATTTGAAGTGATTCTCTGAGAATAAAACACTTTGATTTACAAAAGCTTTCAGTGCTTACATTAAATTACTGGGGATGCACATTTCCATTTCACAGGAGCTCTGACTGCTGATCTAAAGGAGCACTTAAGGAGAGGGGAGCAGTTTTGTAGTAGGTTTTTTTTTTTTTTGCTTAAAACACAAAGGTACAAACTTTTTTGAAGGAATTTTTCATTTCTTCCCCAAAAAAAAAATCTATTGCTGAACAAGCAGCTCATGACATACCCTACAAACTGAATTTAATTAAGAATATCAGTCATGGCAGGTGAAACCTCAGAAATGTTTTAAACAACATATATCCCATGCATATATTCCAATTATTTTCCCAAAAATTTACTGAGGATGAGACGGGGATAGAGAAATCCACTGCAATAAACTGTCATTAACAAATCATAATCCCAACAAGGAGAAAATCATCTTCCTATTGAGATTTCATCTCATTTAGGCCTCATGAATTTTCAGGATAATGTAAATCCTGGATTTGCCAGGGATTTCCAGCACTGAAGGACACAGAATATTTTCCTCCCAAGTCCTGGATGTTCATTGCCAGGGACTGAAGTAGAAATCCTGATTTCATTGCTTGGGTAGGGAGGATGGTGCTGGAAAGGAACACAAGGAATCTCCTTGGTGCTTCCTCACACCAAACACAGCCCCAAAAGTGCCCAGATCTCTCTGGGAAGGAGTTGGGCACCCTGCAAGGACAGCAGCAATGGGACAATCCCCAAAGCTCCAGCAGAAAAAGAGAAGTTTCAGATGAAGTTTCAGGTGAAAAGAACAGCAAACAAATCACCTGGAGCCCTTTTGCTTGGGTCAGTTTTGAAGCCAAGCCCTGCTCCATGGATGGATTCCCTGCTCCCAGCAGGGCCTGGCCCAGCCCAGAGCTCGGCCTGCAGGAGCAGGATCCATTCCCAGCCTGGGGCTGTGGGGCTGTGGGGAGGATCTGCTTTGTGCCCCTCCATAATGGATTTTACAGCTAATTAAGGAGGTCAGGCTGTAAAAGCTGCTTCATTCCTGCTTTTTGGGAGTGCTAGAGCTGCCAGGGTACATGGAAGTGGGAGGGAGAGCAGGGAAAAGCAGAACTGAGGGATTCCAGCAGGAACAGGGGATATGGGATTAACCAAAGTTCTTGGCTCTCCAACCTGTTGATTTTTGTTTTGTTTTCAGCTGCCCAAGATCCCAGACCTGCCCTTGGCATCGGGATCACCAGGAGAGCAAAGCTGCCTTCAGCTGGGCACAACTCAAGGGCAGGATCAGGCCCAGCTCTGCCTTTTCCACACATTTCCCAGAGCAGGGCTGATTTGTGCCTCTGGAATTGCTAAAAGGAGCCCTCTGAAGTGGCCTTCCAGCCACAATTTCATTGATTGGGAATAAATTTTGATCCATTAGGTGCAATAAAAGCTTTCTATTCAATAACCCAGGAGAAAGATCCTTTATAATAACTTATAAAGCTCAAACCCTTACACAGCCCAAATTGGCACTGAAGCCAAAGGATGACCAGGAGCAGTTCTGAGCAGGTTCCTCTCCACACAGAGAATGTATTCATTAAAAATATTAATGATTATATGGTAAAGAACACATGTTAAATGAAAACAAGGTGGGTTTTGCACATTAACTGGTGCATGGCACCAAAGAGCCATGGTTACCTCAACCTGCTTCACCTAAATCTGGTGTTGCCCATTCTCCTGACAGATCTTGGCATTAATTCATAATTGGAAGTTACTATTGGAGAAATAATCCAGAGAAAAACCCTGCAATGACTGTCAAAGTGCAATTTAAAAAGAAAAAATAGCAAAACCAGCAGCAAGGCTTCAAGTAAAGCCCCTAAATGTGCCACAAAGTTTGATAACAATCTAATCCCAGCCAGGACACTGTGTGTTTCATATTTAAATTAGAATATAAATACTATTGAAATTGAGTATAAATTTTAGAATATAAAACTATAAAATAATAGAACAATAAAATATATTATTCACTGTGAAGTGTCCACTGCACTGCAGCATTTTCAGAAACACTGGACACACCGTACATTAATTAGAACATATTTTAGCACATGGATCAAAATCTGACTTGACAGGTTTGGAACTAATATTTCTCTATTATTAATTGCTATTCTGGAACTATCACTTTTGTATTATTGGAGCTCATATTTATGTATTGTTCTGACCTGTTTGAAACTCAGATTTCTGTATTATTACCTAACTTTGTTTAAGCCTTGTTCTTTAAGGAGCTCTGCACTGGATTTAGTTGCAAGAGCCACTGCAAACACAGCAATGATTGAGTGCTGGGCTAGCCAGAGATAAAATTTGAGCAATAAGAATGGTTTATTGCTATGATTTGCTTAGAGATATAAATCTATCAAGTTCCCAGTCCCAAGCACGGAGTCAGAAGGGACAAGAACCTACAAATAGCCAATCTAGGACTATCTCAAGCAAGTCTATAAAGCTAAACCAGGATATTTATTTCCAATGCTCTAACTAGTAGTCTAATCAGTAAAGCCCTTAAACTTGCAATAATATTTCACTGATGTGTACCAGAGCGTTGCAAGTTATAAAATTTCCAATTTAATTTTACTGCATCCCTCAAGCTGTAGTAATTAGAAGACAAACTCACAGGGAAGCTGTTTATGGCTTCAGGGGTGAGAATTGTGAACCTGTCCTGCAGGTCAGCCGTGTCCTCAGGGCTCCCAGATCTAACAGCTGCCTGCAGACCCAGGAGTTTATTGTAGTACTGCAGTAACTCCTCACTCAGAGCAAGGGGGCAGATGTAGATGACGTCCACGTTGGCATCTGAAACAAAGGGGCACAGTGCTCACTGCTGGGACGAGGGTGCCACGCTCCCAACAGCAGTGCCAGCACCTCCGCCCTCTGCTCACCAACAGCCCTCCTTCAAATGCACTGCAAATAGAGAAAAATGGGGCTTCACTCCCAAACCTGAGGGCTGTTTGCTGTGCTTCAGCATGTCTCTGCAGGCAGGGCAGTGACCCAGAGGAAGAGCTGCTTCCTGGGATTCAATCTGCACAACATATTGGGGCAGGCTTTGGGAAGTGGTGCAGGGGGATTTGTGAGCCCCGCTCCCATTAACATCAATGGGAATTGAACTGCTTGGAAAATATATCCCATTAATGCCAGTAAATTATAAAACTGAGCCATTCAGTTGAGAAAGCTGAGGAAATTGCAATTTTCTACGCTGCCTGGATTTTCCATGGGCTGTTCCTGCTCCTGTGCTGCCCACACAAAAGCTCAGGGTGGGGTGTCATTAATAACCATCGCTGGCAGGGCAGTGTGCAGGGCAGCACGGTGGGGAAATCTGCTTTTCCTCGTGGAAAACAGCTTGGGCTGAAGGGCTGTGTCCACACAGAAGGGAAATCTGTACCACAGGCAGCTTGGGAAAATTGTAACCACTCTGTTCTGCTACAATATTAATGGCAATAGATGAGCTAATGAATTAATGGGCCTTGAGGCACCGATAGGCAAAGAGCACTCCAAGATTTTGATCCAAATCAGTGGGAAGCCTTGCATTGTTTCATTGTGCACAAGTGCCAGGGATAACTGCTATTGCATGGAAGGACTGCACACAGCAAGGCCTGGACAAGGAAACCCTGAGCCAAATGCTGGACAGTGAATGAGCGATCCCATGGCTTGGCTTTGTTTTGCCAGAGCTGCAGGGAAAGAATCCACATTTAAAAAGTGAGGCCAGGACTCACCTGAGGCACTGCAGTACCACAGAGCCCACAAGCAGAGTATTTGTATAATTATTTACCAGATCACTTTTAAAAATAACTAATGGAAGAGTTCAGCACCATTCACCAGTCAATACTGACAACTTGAGTGATTTTGGGGAAGACAAAGCTGCAGCACATTTACTGCTGTGGCACTGCCCTACAAAGAGAGATAAAGTCTCCTCAGGACACAGGGGCTCCAGGGACACCTTCACTCACAGGAGGTCACAAACAGCAAGGAAATCCTCTGCTTTTCCAAAGAAAAACCAAATTAAAATGGAAAATTTCAGTGCTCCTCTGCCAGGCACAGGTGAAGCACATGACCCAGTCCATAATTTAGTCAATAGTTCACTAGTTTGTATCTTCCTTGTAGTCTATTTTACAGCAGAACCAATTTTCATGTTCAGAAATCAGAAGAAAAATGTTTAATGTGTGACTTTGTCCCTTTAAGTTTCTATCATTTAAGAGCCAAAAAAATCCACATTAAAAAAATAAATAAAAAACCAGTACAGTGGAAAAAACCCGAGTATTAGCGCCTAGATAATATATAAAGGCAATTACATTATTATTTTAGGCAACTGTAAATTTCTGGATGTAATATATTTTTGTTCCAAACTTACTAAATGGCATTTATAAAATAATCATGATCCTGCAATATACATGAATCATGTAAAATATGTCATTCCAGGGAGCCAATGCAGTTGGTCACTGCTAACTAATATCCTTCCCTGCTTTGCTTAAAAGAAGCCTGCCAGGAAAAAAACCCCAAACTTTTAAATAGATGCCTTTTGCCTCATTTGCTGATTTAAAAGGAAAAAAAAAAAGGGTTTAAATAAGGGCTTGCTCTTTTGCAGCACATCTTTCTGTCTCCCTCATTTTGGGAGCCCTGAACACTCTGTGGGGCTGAGCAGCTCACAGGAGGAGATGCTCCACCTCAGCACAGAGGGGCAAAAACATCCTTATTTTTTATGGATAACATGGCCAGAAATGCCACAATTCCTTCTCAGCTTCTCCCTGCTCTATATTTAATATTAATAATTTTAAAAAAAGTCCTTGTGCTGTTTTCTTTCAGTGCCAGCTGTGGGAATAACCAGAGAGCAGGATCTGATCACATACCCAGGATGTCACAGAGCCTGTGCTCTATATTTAATATTAATAATAATAATTTTAAAAAGTGTTTGTGCATTTTCTTTCAGTGCCAGCTGTAGGAATAATCAGAGAACAGGGGCTATCACATAGCCAGGATGTCACAGAGACTGTGCTCTATATTTGATATTCTCAGCTTCTCTATGCTTTACATTTAATATTAATACAAAAAAAAAAAGTCCTTGTGCTGTTTCCTTTCAGTGCCAGCTGTGGGAATAACCAGAGAGCAGGAACTGATCACATACCCAGGATGTCAGAGCCTGTGCTCTATATTTGATATTAATAATAATAATTTTAAAAAGTGTTTGTGCATTTTCTTTCAGTGCCAGTTGGGAGAATAATCAGAGAGCAGGAGTTATCACATACCTAGGCTGTCACAGAGCCTGTGCTCTATATTTAATATCAATAATAATAATTTTAAAAAGTGTTTGTGCTGTTTCCTTTCAGTGCCAGCTGGGGGAATAACCAGAGAGCAGGATCTGATCTCACACCCAGGATGTCAGACCCTGTGCTCTATATTTAATATTAATAATAATAATAATTTTAAAGTGTTTGTGCATTTTCTTTCAGTGCTGTGGGAATAACCAGAGAACAGGAGCTATCACATACCCAGGATGTCACAGAGCCTGTGCTCTATATTTAATATTAATAATAATAACAATTTTAAAAAGTGTTTGTGCTGTTTCCTTTCAGTGCCAGCTGTGGGAATAACCAGAGAGCAGGGGCTATCACATACCCAGGATGTCACAGAGCCTCCCCATCTGCAGGTTCTGCTGCACAGCCAGGTCAGGGATGTGCTCACGGATGTGCTGGGAATAACCTGGAAAACAAGGAAAGCCCCCCTCAAACTGCAGTCAGAAAAACCCTGGGACACATTTGGGGGAGAAAAAAATCAAAAAAAGCTGAAAAAACCCCCTTATTTCAAAAATCTCACAGCACTCATCGCAGCATTTCTCTGAATTTACTTTTATTACTGATGTAACCTCACATTTTTCTGTCATTTAAATACAGACCTGAATGTTCCAGCCCTACAGAGTTTTCTAATTTAACCATGCAGACCATTTTGCTGGGAGTCTTTCATATTGCTGGATAATTTTTTTTTTTTTTGTAAACACTGGAGAAAAAAAATTAAAAAAAAAAATGACACCATCATTAAGCAAGAATCCTGGTAATTTTGTCCTTCACACAGATAAAAGGCACCCAAGGCACTTCATTAAGGAGATGTCTCAGTGCTACCTGCTCACTTTGTTGCAGAGGAAAGGGGAGTGACAGCCTGTCTGAGCCTGGATTATCTCTTTGCAGGTCACAATTCCAGCTGATTCCCTGCCCACGTTCAAAAACACCGCAGGAAACCACAGCAGCACTGTAACTATAATGTTTTGAAGGCTGTAATTTTCAAATTGGTGGAATTCCAAAGGAATTGTGGTGCCTGTGCAAACAGCCACAGCTCCGCTGGCAAGCACCAGCAGGGATATTAATTGGTTAATCCATCAGGATTAATCCCAGTTTTCAGGGTTTGCCATAAAAACTTGACTGATTCAGGAACAAGATCCTTACATTTCCATCTATCTGCACATGGAAAATTATCAGAAACTCAGGGAAAGCTTAATTTGGCCAAAATCTGCTCAGTTATTTCAGTGCTTTCATGTAGAGAACAGCAAAGTGGATATTTCAGCCTAATTACAAAGACAATTACTACAAGTGATCAGCATTCTAAGGTGCTGTGGCAATTGCACACAGAACATGAGAAAATACAGAGAAATTTAAATTACCAGTTTAATTTTTGGTCATTTCTTACCAAGCTTACATTACAGTCAGCACAGTGGTACCAGGCACTTGGAGAACTCATCTAAGTAAAATATATTGATTTCAGTTTTTTACTCCTCTGGTATTAAGCTCCAGTAATTAGAAAAAAGCTTGCTCAGAGTATTTAAACTTTAGTCTCAAGGCTTCATTTTGTTCTCCCACCCAATTTTAAGGCACTAGAAATGCTGCCTAATATTTTCAAACCATTTAAAAGTTAGCCTGAGAATGCAGTAATTTCCTTACCCTGAAAACATTGGGTTTTAAGAATGGAGCAAAAAAAATAACATGCTAATATCACTTGGAAAGCCAGGAATTATTTGAAAGCGATAACAAAGTGGCAGTTAAATAAGTTAAAATCTGCATTTTGCTCAGGCTCTGCAGATGCAGTGCTTTGCACAGGGAGGTTAATAAACCAGATTAAGGGACAATGTATTAACTTGCACTGGCATGACCCCATTAGATTAATGAGGAATATTCACTGCTGGTGAATCCTCACCCTCCCACTGGGCAGGATCAACCACATCCCTCCTGACCCACCCTGAGCATTCCCAACTCCACAACTGGACACCTGAGAAAGCTGATTCAAGGGTTAATATTCCTTTTCTTCCAGTTTGAACAAACCCCAGGCCAAATAAATGCAATATTTGGTGACCACAGCCTCATGTTCCAGTGCAGCTGTACATGGAACAGCTCCTGGACAAGGAACTCTTCTGGTTCCTGGACAAGAAATTCCAAATGGTGCCTGGAATTTGGGATGTGCACAAAGGAACACTTGGGGATGGGACTGGGCTTGGCATTCCTGACTCCAAAGTGCAGGAGCAGTGCTAAAATAAGAGGAATTAATTCCCCTTCCAACCTCAGCCCTTTAATGACCCTTTAATTGATATTTCCTTAATAAATTCTGCTCATCTCCAAGTGGCTTCTCCCAACAAAGAATCCTCAAAGGTTCCTTGGAGAACAGGAAGAGCAGAGGGGGACAGGACAAAGTTCTTGGGCAGGATGTGAAGGAGGAAAAGGAGCTGGGATCACTCACCTGCAGCTCCCCAGGACCTGGGACAGCTCTAGGAAACAACAGCCAAGGTTTCATCAATAAAACTGAATTTCTCTCTCTGTGCTTGGCGCACATTTGTGGCAGTAAATCTGATTTAAAGGTTCAAATTCATTTCTCCTCACTCTGCCTTGACCACTGGATTCTGCTTTGTATTTTTAGCTATCCTAGAAATCCCAAGTTTTTGTTTGGGTGAAATAAAAGGAACCATTTGCTCCTCCCAGCAGTACAATTCAAGCCCTTCCTTTTCCTGGATTATTTCCTTTATATATATATTATCCTTTTATCCTGTTTTATATATATATAATCCTTTTCCTGGACTATTTCCAGAGACTTGACATGAATCTGAAACTGTTGTGAAATGAGAAATTCACCTTCCTGCCTCCATCACCATTCCTTGGAATTCCACCTGCAAGGGAAGGAAAATCAGACTCTGATTTGTCCCAAATGCTGGAATCAAGGACAATGAGCAGAGAATTTCAGGTTTTCTTTCTGATTTACAAAACTGAACAGAGAAATCACTGAATATCATCAAACTTTGATGTGTTCTTGTTAATCTGCTCTGTCCTAAGTTTTGTAGCTTAAAATTTTTTTTTATGGTTGCAAAAGGCAGTAAAAAATAAAATTACTGCCAAAATCAGCTGGCATTTTGCATACTTAGTCCTTTTTGACTAAGTCAAATGTTTGCTGTTTAAATTTTCCAGCTTCCTCTAAGTCTACTCCAATAATTCTTAATTTTAAATTATCAAATGTGCAGGAGCAGAATAATTAGACATAAAAAATTTTTATTGCTAGATTTTAAAGATTTTTAGGTAGGGATTTTATGTTTTCACCTTTTAAAATTTTAAATATTAGCTGTTTTTAAAATTAGATCAAACCAAAATTGCTCAGTGTCAAT